AAAAAAAAAAAAGCCAAAGAACAAGGAGTAGTCTGTCAGGAGCAATCTTGGAAATTGCCCAACTTAGAAATAGGAATGAGAAATGAAACTGAAAACGGCAGGTTCATTAAAAGACATTCTTCTTAGAGCTCCCTACCTTCCTGTTCTGAATCGCATGGGTTGCTTTCTCAGAAGTTACAACTCCTGTCTTCCTTAGATATCTTTTCACTGAGCTCCAAGGTTGTTCTCAACATTTCTTGTAAATACATCTTTTTCTTTCTTGGATTCCATCCTTACTCAAATAGCTCCTTCAGCCATCCATGATGGTGCATGCCTGTGATAGCAGTCACTAAGGAGGCTGATGTAGGAAGATTGCAAATTTGAAGCCAGCATGGGTAACTTAATAAGACTCTAACCTCAAAAAGAAAAGAAAAAGATTTTTGCATAGTATATGCAAGGTCCTAGGTTCACTCCCCAGTACTGAAGGAAGTAAAAAGGTTTGTTCAGAAGTGGACTCCCTTAGGCATATTTGGAAATGTTGTGTGGGACTTTTTTTTTTTTTTTTTTTTTTTTCTGTTTGGTTTGACACGGGTGTTTTTTTTTTTTTTTTTTTTTTTGGTACCGGGGATTGAACTCGGGTTCTTGCGCTTGCAAGGCAGGCCACCAAACCACTGAGCTAAATCCCCGGCCCATGTGTGGGACATTTTGATTATCACAGACAGCATTCTGAGAGTAACAGCACTATTAAGCCCTTTGAAAATCATTTTTCCCCTATGACCTTTCATTTGATAATTTGACTGGCTGTGAAATAAATTCTGGGTTAAAACTCTCTAGTATCTGGGAAATGTATAAATTATTCTCAGGATCCTTAATTGTTGATAAGACAGCCAATGTCAGTCTGATTCTTTTTTCAGCGATGCTTAGAAATTATAAAATTTGGTTTTGAGTGGACATTGCGAATCAAGATATACATGCTATCAGTGAATTATATAAAAATTTTCATTCATACTACATCTTTTAATTTGTGTTTTTCAGACAATGAATGATTTTGACTATTTGAAACTACTAGGTAAAGGCACTTTTGGGAAAGTTATTTTGGTTCGAGAGAAAGCAAGTGGGAAATACTATGCTATGAAGATTCTGAAGAAAGAAGTCATTATTGCAAAGGTAAATGATTATAAGAGTTGATGAATAAATTTTTGCTGGCAGTGAGCAGTTATGTTTATTATGATAACTTATGCAGTGATAAATTGTAGAAATTCCATTGAACAATCAAAATAATTGGAGGTAGGCTACTGCTACACTAAGGGATGTTATCAGTATTGGTAATGTTAAGATTTTCAAAAGTTTATAATGTACATAAATTGTGTGAAAGTTATTTTATTCTCTTAATGAAATAGAAATTTTTATATTTTATGTGCTTGGGAGATCGTTTTTACTATACATTGGTGATCTGTATTTTTAATTTTACTAGTGTTGCTTTTTAATATTCCCCCAATGATCTCAATTTCTCAGTAAAAGATTTGATTAGAAAAATATAAATGATTTTGTACTTACAGTTTATATAGCATTGGGTGGGAAAGCATCCTAAACAGACTTGAAAATACTAGAATAATGAAGCTATAAGAAGAAATAGTCTTTGAAATTTCTTTAGAAATCTCAGTCCCCCACCTCATAACTGCATTTTTCTTAATTTAATTTTTTATTGGTGCATGTTTGTAGTACATGATAATTATATTCATCATGGAGAACGTTTTTCATGTTAGACCTTTACATATATTCAACACATTAATGGAGTAATTTCTTACTCCACAGTTCTACATTGAATATCCGTTCCCTCAATAGGAAAATTTGACATACGTTAAAACTGATGTTTGCTTTCTGTCTTAATCAACAGATGACACATAATACTATGGTACACCTTAGAGACTACTTTCACTTTCAGGTACTTTGTAGTTAACTCATCTGGAGTGTATTGCTCCGTACACTTCACGCAACTGCCTACATTCCTCCATGATGGCATTTTTGCTTCAGCCTGGGCTCAGCAAGTCTGCATCTCCTGTTAGAAGAAACTCTTTGCTTTGTAGCTATTGCAGCCTGCATTTACACCTTACCTGATATACAAGCTTTAGGAACCAGCTTTTTGCGGAGTTGTATTGGGATATATTGGGAGCATATGTGCTCATCACAGTGACTGAGGCCAAGAGACGGTTACCAACAGAAGCCGGGTGTGCTGAATATCCTGCCTGTGTGTGTTGGCCAGCTCCTCGGAACCTTAGTTGGCTCATGTGTAAAACTGGTAGGATGAAATCCACTGGATGGGAATATTAGGAGGAAGTAGGATGAGTAAAGTGTTTAGCATACATGTTGGACTTGTTATTAACTAAACTGAAATTTTTTCTGGAAGGTGGTAGAGTATTGTAGGCTCTGTCACTTACTAAATGATCTCAAAGTACTAAACTTTTATACTTTAATTTCTTTATCCACAAAATGGGAATAATAACACTTATCAGTGTTGTTAGGTTTAAATTAATAAATGTAATAGTATTTGCCATCATGATTAAGTTTTAGAAATTACATATGGAATAAACTTAAGATTAGAGCCATATGAATGAAAATATATTAAATATTTTCTGTTATTACTGTCATTACCTACTGTGTATCAAGCATAGGTAAATACAGTTCAATTTTGTTTTTTCTTTGTAGTCTGGCCTCGCTTGGGCTCTATCGTCTACTTTTATCAGACTTGAGAAGACCCTGTCAGACCCTGTTTAATTCACTAATTCCTAGTACTTTTTTGGGTATCTGTACATATTTGGGTATATTTCACAAATGGTAGACTATCTTGATTGATGTAGTTCCTTCCTGTTTTCCCCAACCAATCTGTTTATCAGTTTCTTAAAAGAAAATATATGGATTCCCAACAAAATGATTGACCAGTATGAAATTTTGGAATGTGATAAGAGCCAAGATTTAATCCTAATGTGTTCTTCTCAGAACATCCTATCAGGGAGAAAATGATGTTGCTATGTTCTCTTACAGGAGGCATTAACCTTCATCCTTTGATTAAAATAATATCTACTAGGATTTTCCACTGTAAAAAGTACTATTTTCCCCTTATAATTAATAAGTATATTTTATGGGAAATATTCTGAGATTATGTGAATGTCCTGTGTCTTTTAAAATATTTTACTAATTTTAATATCTTCCAGTGAATCTTGTCTCTAGTGGTTATTACTGTGGTATTCTAATGATGGTTTTCTGTCTTCCTTATTCCTTACGTATTTATCCTAAATTTATCTGAAAATTGGTCTAAACTATCAATCTTTTCGAAGAATCAACTTTTCATTTTGTTCATTTTTAAAAACTGCTTTTTTCTGTCCTCATAGTTATTTTTAACTTCTGCTAGCTTTTTGGTTTTTACTTTATTTTATTACTAGTTCCTGAGGTTGTAAAGTTAGGTTTTTGACTTGAGACCTTTGTTCCTTTTGTTTTTTGATGGTACTGAGGATTAAACACAGCTTTTTGCACTGAACTACATCTATAGCCTCACCCACGCCTCCTTTTTTATGAGATCTGTTTTATGAGTCTTGCTAAGTCACTAAATTGCTCAGTCTGGGCTTGAACTTGAAATCCTCTTGCCTCTGCCTCCCAGAATGCTGGGATTACAAGCATTCACTACTATGCTACTGATAGTCTTTGTTCTTTTTCATGTAAGTATTTATATAGGGGTGATCAAAAAATACAGTGAATACCTAAAGTGTTGTTTTTTTTTTGTTTTTTTTTTAATTTACATTAAAGGAAAGCTTGCCATTAATCGATCTTGCAGAATATTCTGAAGCAGCTCTGGCAGTCATCGTTCATGTGAATGCTGCTGCTGCTACCGTATGCCGCCCGAAAGAAAGGGCTGTGTGTCCTCATCCACTTTGTGCACCGGATCAGGCGCTGCAACTTCTTTTTCCCAGAGTAAAAATGACCAGAAAGTTAAACATTTTAAATCAATTCAGGACACTGAGCTAAAGACAGGAAGAAAGAAACTATTTCTCTCCACAACTCTGTTCCTACCTCTTTCATTTATTGGTGTGTTAAAATTGCATCTTTATGTATTGTGTGTCTAAAAGCAGAAACTAGTAACTCAAGTGCGTCTGTCTCTTAAATTATGTATGAAAAAGATAACATTACAATAATAACTTTTGTATTTGCCGTATAATTTTTTCTAGAGATCTTAGTACAAATTCAGGTTACAGTATAATGTCCTTGCGTTTCATTCTGAAGGAACTTGCTTCTGCATTTCTTACAATGCAGCTGTGGTCGTAAGTGAACGCTCTGCTTCTGTCTCCTTGAGAGTGTGTTCTGTGTGTCTGCGCATGCTTGTGGGTGTTGTTAGGCGTGGCACCTAGAGCCTTGTGCACACATCCTAGGCAAGTGCCCTGCCAATGAGCTACACCCCTAGTCTTCCTCATTTCTGAACAATGCTTTTGCCAGATACAGGATTCTTGGTTGACTTTCATTTTCCGTTCAGCACTTTGAGTATATCAGCCTACCCTGTGACTTCCTTTGGTTCTTGTTGAGGATCCCTTATATGAGTTACTTCTCTCTTGCTGCTTTCAAGTCTTTGTTTTTATTAGAATGAGCCTCACTGTGGAGCTCATTTATCCTGCTTGGTGTTTATTGAGCTTCTTGGATATTTTTATTAAATCTGAAAGTTTCAGTCGTTTCTCTTAATGCCTGCCACTTCCCCATTGCAAATGTTGGTCTGCTCGAAGTGTCCCCCTGGGCACCCTTTAAGCGCTGGTTCCTCGATTGTTTTACCTTCCAGTTTGCTGTTCTTTTTCATCTTCCTACTTAAGCCTGCTTTTGAATCACTCTAGTGATTTTTTGTTTCTGAAAATCACATGCTAGCATGGATCACAGGACCCAAAGGCAGTGTCACTGCAAATCAGATGTAGCCCACTGTCCTGTCTTCCATTCTGATACATCCATCTTATAGTGTTTTTTATGGCTTCAAACTAGCACTAATCCCAGTGGTGAAGTCTGTATTGTTCAAAACCCAAAAAACCTGAGCAGGTTTGGTTCATTTCTAATACTTCCATGAGGAAGAAATATGAGCAGTTAGTTTTTAATTTTCTATGGAGTATGGATAGCTCCCGCTGAATTTATTCATCAGAATTTTATAGACCTTTAGATATTTGATGTATTTATTCTCTGACCTCCATAATTTGTGTGTATCACTACTACATTTAAGTCAGTCCAGCTTGTTTGTAAGTTTCTGATATTATCATATATCAGTCTAGTAAACTTTCATAATCAGGAACCTGTATCAAGTTAGAATCCCTTCTAAACAAATTAAGATAGAAAGATGGTGAATTCATATAACAATATAGTATAATAGATGAAAATTGGAATCATTCCCATTGGAAGACGACATACTAGGTTTATTTTGTTTCCCCTGAAGTTAGGACCAAGATAAAAGCATTATCATAATCAAATTCAGATGTTAGTCTCATTTAGCTCATTGTATTTTTAGCAGTGTTGAGACTGTGCCAGGTACTGCTGAGGCTATAGGTAATGCTATAGACAGAGCAACCAGCATGCTTCTGTGGTACGATAGCTGAGGTGTTCCCTAATCAGGCATAACATCCTTCCCAGTAGCATATTCAGGCAGAATGGATGTAGTCTGTTCAAACACTCTCACTTACATCCAAATTTTACTTTAATCCCATCACCCATTTCATCCTCAGACCCTCCCAGACTAACTGTAGCCCTTATTAGGACTTACAGGTTTTGGAATCACATTATACTAGACTCTTATGCCAGGGACCCCAGAAGGCTTCTTCTTTACCCCTGTTTTACCCATATATGTGCACATGGACTTCAGTCCCTAGCGAGGTGTTGGTCCAAAACTGGTTTCTCTGTAAATTCTATCCCTGATTAATTTGCCTCAGAAGTGAGTGAGATTCATCATTGTCATTTTGCATCCCAGTTTTTATGTTCCTTTAAATTAGAGTACAATGAATGTATTTGTTTAGAACTTTCAATGTTGGGGAATCCACAGGGCTCCCATTGGTCCACCCAGTTATTTATAGTGCTGCATTAAGTTCTTTGTGTCAACTTCTTGAGTGTCTACTTTATTCATTCCCTTCTTTAGTGACCATTTAAAATTTCAC